TTCCTATTCTTCTATATTATCCCCTCTGACTCAATTATGTTTCATCACTTATCAGGTGATTCAAGTTAATTGATTAATTGTTAAATTATAATTTTTTAAAATAATTTTTTAAATTTTTAAATTTTTTATTGATAATTTATTTACATTTAATTAAAATTTTAAGGATAAAATTTGCTACATTTGATTTATACAACAAGGTCTCCATTAATCTTAGAGTTGGACCTTAGGTAACCTAATTCGTGCGTCAAGGCCTGCCGCTCCCGCTCCAGCGCGTGAAAACGCGAACTTTCAACAAGTCTTCTATAATTCGCGAACTGATATTAATTGGAGCGCGAACTAATGTTTCTGGAGCGCGATCTCCCTGTGGTTGTCCTGGATAGCATCGGCAGCTGTATTTGTCGGGCCATCGATGTTTCCGTCAGCTATTTCTGGCGTTCCGCCGTCCCCAGCCCTGACTTCAACCTCAGTTCCCAATGACGAATCAACCTTCTCCTTGCGATGCGCTGCCGCTACCACAAGCCGACGACGTCCTACCAAAGAAAGGAGAAGTCTCGTAGCCGCTGAATGTTGAGACCAATTTTGATCTCTCTCTTGGGCGGATCTGAGGGAGTAGCTACCGTGGGAGAGACTAATTGTATCGATTGAATGATTGATGCAATTCTCCTTCTTTTTCTTCTTCACGATCGATTCTCTCACTCGGGAATTGAAAGCAGAGAACAAGAAAAGGACAAGGGAGGAGAAATATACAAACGTTGATGTGTATAGTCAACCACCGATTGGAAACAGAGGAAGATGGGTGGTCGTTGTTTAGAGATAAGTGGTGCAGTGATGTGGGAGAGCTATTTGCGTATAAAAATAAAGATAATTATTAGTTTTTAATTAACTGGATTCCCACTCCCAAAACCATGAAATTAAATCATGCTTTAGAAAAGTCCAATTAATTCGACTATGCTAATTCAGTAATCCTAATGGTTTTTAATAGATATTCTCCTCATACAATATTTAATGGAATTTCTTCACAAGTTCATCAAAATGTAATGTAAAAAAATAAATATTTACTATATTTTAAGCATCATAATTAATATATATTGAAAAAATAATATAATTATCCACGCTCTCTTCACGCTCTCGATATTGAATTCTTAAGAAATAGCCGCTCTCGCGCTCTCGCTCCCGCTCCCGCTCTCGCTCTCGCTCCACGAACTGGTTACCTAAGTTGGACCTGATCAAAATACTTTTATTAATTATTTTTAGCATGATACTAATACATAAAATATTAGCACAGCCTATCTGATATTGAACATATATTGGTTCGATGAATGACTATTACTATTATCATTATTATGCGAAAGCGTGTATGTTTGACTGGGTTTACTATATGACCTTTTCCCATTAACAGATCTGCAAATTCCCATGAGATCCTACGATGTCTACGCATTCTGAGTTGACTCTTTATTAATGGGCTTTTTTTCAGGCCCACTAACTCACTCGCTCTCAAGTCTCAACCATACGTAGGGATGGCAATGGGGCGGGTTTGCCTAAACCATTCCCATCCCCGCTTTCAAATATCCAAACTCATACCCGCCCCATACCTATACGGGGAAAGATTTTGCAAACTCATCTCCATACTCGTGGGTTTCGGGTACCCATGGGTAATACTCGTCCAGTACATCCAACATTATAATACATAAAATTTTACATGTAAATTTTCAATTATAACATTAAAGGCACCGATTATATCATGAAGTCGAGAAAGTGACAATAATTCTTAATATGATTCAAAGCATTTTATCCTAAAATTTCCCTTAATCCATAAAATAGAGTACTACAATGTAATCCAAATCATTATTTATCTAACTCTAATACATATACTAAGCAATAATGAACTAATATAACGAGGGAAAAGTGAAAGAGTGAGAGAGAGTTGAGGAAAATGAATTAGGTTTTGATTTGGGTGACCACTCAATTGCATTTCTACTAATTATTTTTTTTATTTACCCTCACTATCATTGATAGATTACCATTTCATCCATGTATTTTTTATATGTGAACAAATATTCTTGGTGGGGCGGGTATGGGTATGGGTATGGGGCGGGGAGGCTAAAACCATACCCGCCCCATACCCATCAAACATTTTGCGGGTTTTACCCATACCCGCCCCATACCCAGTCAAGGGACGGTCGGATACCCGTGGGCATGAGTTTGATTGCCATCCCTAATCATATGCTACCTGGTGAGGATAAAGCAATTTTTTTTTTTTTTTTTTTTTGATAAAAAGGATAAAGCGATTTTTAACTTATGCTAATGCTATTCGCAAGAAATAAATTAAACGGCAGATAGATATATATACTATTAACGACCAGAAAATATTATTAATGAAGTCGAACAGGATGACTTGGCTAGCTAAGCGTAAGCTTAGCGTGCCAAAAGAGGCAAAACTGATCGATTTCAACGACTCCCCTCTATTAGACACGTGGAGATAAAACCAATACAACTTAAGCCAAAATAACTTTTGCTTGATGACGGAAAATGGATGAAAGAAAGGAAGAGAACGATAGCAACAGTCCAAACTCCAAAAGATGAAAACAAGAGAAAATCATCACTAAGCTAATTGATTAGCTACCGCTAATCAACTAATTAGATATGTGATAATATTATAATAGGTCAGTTTCAGAAATATAGTTATCCGATGTTCATGTCAAGAACCAAGAATACCTTTTGTCATCCAAATGGTTCTTCGAAGTTCAAACACAAGACGTTTCGATCATCTAATGTTCTAACAATATGTTAAGAACCAATTGGTCTAAATAACTCGAGTTGTTTGAAAAGGTTAATAATAATGAATCTTATAAATGTGTGGGTGTTCATTCTTTTGGTGGTAATAATGTAGGACATTGGTACCAGTACTAGACAAACTATGATGTTTTTGGTATATATCTTAGTATCTTGTGTATCATGGGCTAGGGAGTCTATTCACGTCTATCTTTTTACCAACAAAATTAACTATATATAGTTAACCAATGTAAAAAAGATAAAAAGAAAGTGTTGGTCTTAGTATGTTTCTGAATTCTCCAAACTAAACCTAGAATAATTAAGATCTCAAGTCAATCATATCAGTTTTTTAGTTTGATCAACCTGCATATGTACCAATCACTCAAAACATATTCATAAATTCTGAGTTCACTACTTACATAAATTTATTTGATACTCACGCACACACCTATAATTGAAAGCTTTTTTGTATTCATTTATTCGGATTTAAAGTTCGGATACCTACATGACGAATGAGGATCCACTCATTCAGTGACGGACCCATAAATTTCATATAGTGGTGTCTTCTTCAAAAATTAAACTTAAATAATAATTAAAAATCTGAAATAAAAAAATAAACAACTAGTACACATTACAACGAAAGCTTTTTTAATATACAAAAAAGAACTCGTCATTCATAACAAAATAATAATTCTCAAGATCACATAGAAGAAAAGAATCAGAAAAGTGATCAAAATATTCTTCAAGGCTAAAATTGTGTGTTTAGAATATGGTGGGAGATAAAGGGTACCGGTGGGTTTAATTTTATATATTTTGAAACAATAGAAGATAAAGGCTAAACAATTATAATCATATATTTATGTTAAATTTAACAAATGAACTGCAGTAAAATGAAAAATAATATTTTAATAACTACAGTGTCATAACTTTGGGTTAATTCCATGAATATTGTTTTTTTTAATTTACCACGAATATAGTGGTTTTAAAACTATTTACAAGAATATTGTGTTTTTAAGAAGGAAGTTGGCGACTGCACCCGAGACTCAGATATTCGAGTTTTAAAGGCTGTTGATAGCGACGGCGCCCAGGTCTCGGGCTTTGGCGCCTTTCAAAATTTCAGGCGCCAAAGCCCGAGACCTGGGCGCCGTCGCTACCAAGCTTATTTTTTTTACCCCCTTCCTCCCCCCCCCTCTCGCACCACACCAGACACCAGACCCATCCCCCTCCCCTCTCCACTCCTCCTTCTCCATCCCAGCGCCGAGAACGAGCGGCGACGTAGAGAACCAGAGCGGCGACGCCGAGGAAAAGGCGGCAGCGCCCCAGTCCCAGGCGACGGCGCGCGGCACAAGGCGGCGGCGCTATGTCGGACGACGAGCAGGCCCCCAGCGGCAGAGGAAGAGGCCGAGGCCGGCGAGGCCGGCGTGGCGGCGGTGGCGGTGACGGCGGCGGCGAACGTTACCGGAGTGAGTCCTGCCGGCGGCGGCCGGCTTCTCGCCGGCGGCAACTTTTTTCCGGCGACATTTTTTTTTTTTTGTGTTCTGATATTTTTTTTTCAGTTCCTAGGCTTATCGATCCTTGTTCGATGAGACCACCACCTACGACAATCGATACTGCTCCGAATGATCCGGAACTTCTTTGGGGGCATGGTCACCATCGGATTGACGCAGTTTGGGCAAATGAGGTAAGTTTTTTAAATTAAATTATTTCTATAGTTTTTTTTATTAGCTGTATAATAGAATATATTAGAAATAGAATAGAATTAAATTAAATTAAGAATAGAATGAGATTAAATTAAGAATATTATTAGATTAAATTAAGAATATTATATTAGAATAAGTTTAGTTTAGATATATAAATATAAATATTAGGTGAATTGAATTGAAGGAATTGAATTAATATAGTTTTGTGCATTAATTAATTATAGGCTGGTGATCGACCATACCACATTCGTCATACGGGCAATTTAGTTCGATACAATCCACTGTACCTGCCGTATCTCGTCGACATTTAATGTGAACTTAAACCAAATTATAAAATATTGCACATGTGATTACTTTTCATTTGAGAAATTTCAGGTAGAACATGAATATATGTTTTCACTTCATCGGACATTTCACATGCCGTTCGGTGAGGTGACGATCACCCTAGAGGACGTTGCGACACTCACCGCATTAGCGATCGACGGTGATGCCGTCATAGTAGACATACCAGACGAGGACTGGTCGGCTATGTGTCTTCGACTGTTAGGACAGGCTCCTACTGATCTTGGCGGCGGCGTCATCCGGATTACTTGGCTCAGGGAGACTTTCGATGAGCTACCGCTTTCTGCATCACCAGAGACGACAGAGCAGTATGCTAGAGCGTATGCGCTGTCTCTGATGGGAGGTGTCTTGTTCTCCGATCGATCTGGAGGTTCAGTTCACCTGCAGTATCTACTTTTGGTAGAGGATTGGCGCAGAGCGGGGAGGTTTGCTTGGGGAGCAGCTGTGCTATCCTACTTGTACCGTGAGATGGGTAGATCGGCGCTGCAGATGACGGCATCTTCTTCACTGGGTGGTGACTTTGGTGGATGGGCCGCCTTGCTGATGATCTGGACGTGGGAGCGGTTTCCTCATACATCACCACTACATGCGGTGACGGGTGCGCAGATTACTCAGGACGCAGTGCCACCTGGCATTCGGTGGCTTCCGGCCCAGACCCGTCAGCATGGAGATCAGTTCTACTTGTACAAGCTGTGGTTTGACGAGTGCACGACATTCGTGGTTAGTATATAACATTTCGTTTTATAGAATAGTTTTAATTGATTTATTATAGATTTAGGAGTAATTATGTGACCAATCCTTGTGTGCAGTGGCGTCCGTACTTTCATAGAGGTCAGGACTACAGCGGTACTGTGATCCAGTCCCACACGTTTCGAGCAGTAGTTCCGCTGATCTGCTTCTCATCGCAGATGTGGCATCATCCAGATCGCGTGCTAGGACAGTTTGGAATGGTTCAGGACCGGCCTCATCCTCCACATTCCGCGGCTGAGATTAGATTTTTTCTTCGTGTGGGACAACATGGACCATCACGTGGCCAGCAGTTCATACAGGCAGCCAGCGAGTCGATTGAGTTGTGGAACCGTCGACATGAGTTCGTAGCGCAGACGAGCTACAGTGCCGTGGAATTAGCTTACCACTCGGAGCATCAAGAGTGGTATAGAGATGTCACTAGACATTCAGGCACACGGAGACATGTCGCCATGAGTAGCACTCCTTTATACTTCCCAGTAAGAAATGTCCCATCAACAACCATGACGCCTGGACAATACTTGAATCCATCTATACAAGGTCCATAAGCCCAAAATACTCGCTGAAATATCGAATGACCTGGTTGAGTCGAAGGAACTCTTACCCAATCAATCACCGATGTTGGCATTTTTCTCTTGACCACCCGCAAGAATGTCTGCAAAAAATCATAGGATTCTTCCTAATTTCCATGCAACTTCTCCAATGCTCTTTGTTTCCTATTCCAAGCCTTCTTGTAAGTAACTTGCATATTAAACTTATCTTTCAACTCGGCTTGCACAGTTAGAACACTCAGATTTGGTTGGGCACGTACCAAATGTTTGACGGCCTCAGATATCACGTCGACATCAAGATGGCGATGATCCGTCGGTTGAGTCGTACTACTACAAGTATGCACCAACTCGACCTTTCTCACGCTCCAATCGACATCCAAACCGCACCATCCAAGGACATTTGTCCTCCTTGTGCATCAACATCTGATCTTCCAGATTGAAGGTGACGACTCCACCACGTTATACTGAAAGTTGCGTTGTAGTGCATATATAGTGCTTAATCGCCACCCGTGCAGCTTGTTTCGAGTGAATTATCTGCCCCTTGTAGAATTCTCCATCAAAACCACCAACAGTAGACCCTGGAATTACGCCATATGAATCAGCATATGATAATTCCTCGTCCTCTTCATTACCCTGCAAGTAAAAATATGGAGGATAATTAGGTAGTTCTCCTCCCTCCCCGTCATCCTCCTCCTCCTCATCTTCCTCCTCCTCCTCATCTTCCTCCTCTTCGTCATCACCGTCATCAAAGGCAGGATCGGATGGCACGCTCCATGTATCATCACTGTCATCATCGTCTTCCTCTCCATCCCGATCCTCACTGAGCTCAGCATGTATCTCAGCACCCAAACAATAAGGATTTTGTGCCATAAAATTCCAAAGCACATTTAAGCTATCATCATCGACAATAGGCATTGCATAATGAAATAAAACATCATTCTGCCATTCTGGAAGACAGTAGGTGAAACCTGTAATCACAACACTATCTTGTACTGTTTCGTCTCTAATCCGTATTCTCCGAATTAGATGATCACAAAGTTTCTGATAGTTCACCCTGGATGGAATAGTCATCTGGAAACTTAAACCACCAACAAAATGGACACCCAAATTGTCTTCTACTTTCTCTGATCGCCACCGAACAGCTAGTTCAAATCTCCTAAAACCACTACATTAAAAACAAACTCTAATTACTAACTGGACAAAATCATTATGATGAATACATGGGGAAAAAAAATTACGACTCTTACCTGTTATTAGCCATCTTCCCAGCAACCAGACAGCAACACCAGAGCTTCTCTCAGAACTTCTTTCAGTTTTTTGATGATGAAGAACCGAAGGAAAGGTGCAGTATATATATGAATGGGTGGTGCTGGAGTGGAAAAAAATGGCAGCGACGAAGCCCCAGTCTGGGGCGCCGACGCTTTTTCTTTCTCAAAAGCGCCAAAGCCCCAGTCCGGGGCGCCGCCGCCAAGTTTATTTTTTTAAAAAGCACCTAGCGGCGGCCCCCCGGACTGGAGCTTCGCCGCTTTCAACATATCAAAAAACACAATATTCCTGTAAATAATTTTAAAACCACTATATTTGTGGTAAATTAAAAAAAAAACAATATTCATAGAATTAACCCCATAACTTTGAATCACGTAAAGTATCAGTTATTTATTTTCCTCGTTTCCATATTCAAATCACTGTAGAAGCTTCGGGTGTCTCACACCACCTGCATACCCCTACACTCGTCACATTATTGTAATTTCAATTTTCAAGCGCCAAGTGTTTTTCGTTTTTCCAACTAAATATTTGACTTAGCGCCACTCGATCTCATCAAATACGTAGCCGAGAATTTTGGGGTATGGGCGCCGTCGCTGTCGTAAAAAAAAAAATGCATAGTTGGGAGTCGTGTTGTGTTCACATTTCGTCGTATTATAAATACGAAATGGACAGAACGAGGAAAAGAGAGAGAGAGAGAGGCAGACTGCAGTGCCAGCCCTGGTTGTGATTTTCGCCCTCCTTTCCTTTCTTCTCCTCCAAAAGCACTCAATTTCCCACGAAACAACCAACACCACCACCACCATTATTTTGTTTAATCACCAATTATTAACCCACTCCCCAATTTCCCTCCATCTCCTCCGAACCTTCACCCCCAATTTCCCCTCCGCCGCGACCACCATGGGGAACTGCCTCGCCATGGGAACTCCGGTCAACCACTACCAAGCCCCCACCACCACCGCCGCCGCCGCCTCTCCAGGTTCGAATTCGTTCATTGACGGTCGTTGGTTTGCTTTTGGTTGCCGGAAAATGAAATTCTTATTGACTGGGTTGTTGTTCGATGTGGCAGAGTTTAGTGCCTCGCGGAATAACAGCAGCGACGACGTCGTTGAGAGCGTGAGTAATAGCGGCGGAGGCCACAGTACTACTACAAGCGGCGAAACGGCGGGTAGGCCGAGCTTGAAGATCTTCAAGCTGGCGGACTTGAAGAGCGCGACGAGGAATTTCCGGCCGGACACTGTGCTCGGGGAAGGCGGGTTCGGGACGGTTTACAAAGGGTGGATCGACGAGAGGACCTTCGCGCCCTCCAAGGTCGCCGTCGGGATGCCCGTCGCCGTCAAGCGATCCAACTCCGACAGCAATCAGGGGCTCGAGGAGTGGCAGGTAAATTACAAACTTTGACTTTTTCCTCCTGTTTTATTTTATATATATAGTGGGCGACGACGACGCCAACCGTCCTCTCCTCAACATGATTACATGATATACCTATATAATACCGTTTTTGGGTAGAATATATAATAATATAACGGTAACGGACGTATGTGTATTGACAATTTAGAATGATTTAACCTCTACAACACGTCATTGCTTACATATACCTAAATGCGACATTTGAGCATATATTAGGTTATCTACGAACGAAAAACCAGTTACATTTACTTTGTTTTTAAATACTTATTAATTATAAAAAAGATATTAACATTTCGGATTACCACAGAATGCATGTGGTAGCATTATGTAATTTCTCATGATCAAAGTACAACGATACAAAAATATTTATAAAAAAAAACAGGTACTATTATTTGTTTTTTATTAAAGTGAAATCTGATGAAAATTGCACCTTATTTTTATCATTAATGGGAAATTAAATTTTTATTTAACTTATTGCTTACAACATATGTTTGAACAATAAAGGTAAGCTTAATATACATATAAAATAGTAAGAATTTCTGAACAAGCCAATCACTCTAGAAGAGTAGAAGTGTTTAGGAGTAGGAAAACGAAGGAGTATCATCTTCTACCGTCAATCTAGAATAAGTAGCAGAAGAGTTCACCATGTACAAAGTCAAAGTCAAAGTCAGTGACTGACTGGAATTATATAAAAAATACACAGAAGGAGATGGTGATCATGGGATCCAAATTTGAACATTGTCAATGAGTTCAGACCTGTTTGTTGTCTCTTACTCGTATTTCACAAAAGAATGACACATAATTGATTTACTTAATTATTAATGAAGTATTGGAATATTGGAATCGATTCGGCAAAGAAATTGATCAGCCAACCCCACCAGCCCACAGACTAATCCTAATTGAAATATTCCTGGCTTTCCTAATTTTATTGACCTCGCCACACAATTGCATTAATCTTATATTATTTTTATGTATAAAAAAAAAATCTGTTTGACTTGTTCAGCCAATTTTTATATATTATTTTTAGAGTCATAATTTGCAAAATGCATTGACAAATTTGAAATTTCCCATCATATCCGCAGAAAGTCATGGGGCTACCCATCTCTACAACCATGTGCCCCCATCCTTTTCTTTCTCAGAAATACAGACTAAAAATCATTCATATTCACACACACACAAGACACAACAGGACAGATTGAACGCAACCTCATGATTAACACTCTCCTCGTCGCTTTCGTGTCAAATTGATCTCAATGTAATTGTATGATAATAAACCAAAAAAATATTAATTAATGCGAAAGTGATTTGTTGTTTGTTTGAATTCCAATTTCCAAGTAATAATATTTTTAGAATTATTCTATAGAACTTCGTAAATTTACCTAAAAAGTATACTATTAAGACAATTGGTCTACCATACATCCAAAATCAAGTGTGTGTCACAAACTAACTTCACATTCACATATTGTGTAAAGTTTGTAATGTATACATATTAAATGAGTGATATTGATGGTGTGTTTGCTTATTTTTGCAGGCGGAAGTCAAGTTCTTGGGGAAATTTTCACACCCGAATCTCGTCAAGTTGTTGGGTTACTGCTGGGAAGAGAATCAATTCCTGCTGGTCTACGAGTACATGCAGAAAGGCAGCCTGGAAAGTCACCTCTTTAGAAGTACGTACAATGAACACCAAATGAAAACCCTACCACGTATGACTTATCTCTTATAATTATGTTATGAACTTAGATGTAAATGTGAAGGGTATAATATATTCTATGATTGAAGTTGTACTCTAACATCTAAAAAAATGTTACAGAGAATGCAGATCCATTACCATGGGAGATCCGTCTGAAGATCGCAACGGGCGCTGCAGAAGGCCTAGCTTTCCTCCACTCCTCGGAGAAAAGTGTCATCTACCGCGACTTCAAGGCCTCCAACATTCTCCTGGACAAGGTAAATATCGATCTATCATAATTTAGAGCCATCCTTCGTGTTCCTCTTCCCTTCTCTCTTTTCCATGTTCGTCGTCGTAATTGCATTTTTACATTTGAGAAAATTTCGATTGACAGGAGTACAATGCCAAGCTATCGGATTTCGGGCTGGCGAAGTTCGGCCCGGTGAACGGGAAGTCCCACGTGACCACCCGTGTCATGGGGACCCACGGGTACGCGGCGCCGGAGTACGTGGCGACGGGCCACCTGTACGTCAAATCCGACGTGTACGGGTTCGGGGTGGTCCTCCTGGAGATGCTGACGGGCTTACGGGCCATGGACACGAACCGGCCCAGTGGGGAGTACAAGCTCGTGGACTGGGCCAAGCCCTCTCTCTCCAACAAGAGGAAGCTCAGGAAGATCATGGACCCGAGGCTCGATTTAGAGTACCCGTTGAACGCTGCGATGCAAGCAGCCGAGCTCATCCTGCAGTGCTTGGAGGTCGATCCCAAGAGCAGGCCTTCCATGGAGGAAGTGGTGGAGACTTTGAGGAAGGTAGCCGAGATCAAGGTGAAGCCCATAGAGGGCAAAGAAGGTAAATCAGGAGGCAGGGACCGACGTGGCAGTCATGGTAGTCATAGTTACGGACATAGCCCAAGGGATCATCATCGGCCCAGATATGGTGGAAATGGGATTAATGGGTCACGGGCCCATTCAGCAGGTAGATAGCTAGGGACACTTTTTTGTGAATAAGTTAGTGCACTAAGTACGTACTATCCCCTATATGTGCAGTGTGCACGTTGACTCCCCATACTCGTGGACGTTTTTTACTGGGCCGAACTTTGAGAAGAGGGGGATATCCCTGTAAGATAGATAAAGGGATTTTGTATCGGGTTGTAAATGGGCCACTGGGTGGGCCTCATTGTGCACGCTTGGTCCAGCTTGACTGCTTGTACGTTGGTAGATTGGTGATATCTTAGTTCAATTTTACCCCGATCGAAGTCTATGGTCACTTCAATTCGAGACCCTCAAGTGTGGTTATGCTGTGTAATCTCACCCGACTCAAACTTGTACACTAGGCTTGTTAGCTGCAATATATACAATATGAGCTCGAAGCACGAGAATACGGCTTAAGCGGCATGAAACTAGCGGTTTAAAAAAAGTGGCCGATAAGGTTAACGAGAATTCTTGATGAGGGAGGGGGTAAGAGATTCGCAATGGTTAAAGTTGCAATGTACTATAAATCTAATACTAGGCATAGACCCGCGCTATGCTGCGGTTGATAGATGAAATTGGAATCAATATTTTGTAGTAATGTGTGTTTCTAATTTTCAATAATTACTTCTTTATTCACTCTATTGCTTATCGATTTTTGGGAAAGAATTTGTGATCATCATTACAGGAAAATGCATATGATATCCATATAATACTTGTATATATATTAAGGGCTTATACCACTAGGTTACTCGAACTATTAAGAATGTGCCATTTGTGTTCTAAAGTATCTAATATGACATTTGTGTCCCAACCTATTATAGTTTTGTGTCATTTATGTTCTAACCCGAACTATTAAGAATGTGTCATTTGTTAAATACTAACGGTCAACGCCGGTCAACTCTAACGGAAAAATAGTTTAGGATACAAATGTCATATTGGATACTTTAGGACACATATGACACATTCTTAATAGTTCGGGTTTCCTAGTGGTATTATCTCATATATTAATGTGTTTATTATTTTCATGTTGTTTTGAAACGTCGAATTTTTTTCTATTTGTTTGATGTTTCATGTTCTACACACACATATATATAATAGGCATAACATGCATAATACACTTGCTTTAGTAATTACATTGATAATTTAATGAATGTTCATATATGAAACTATAAATATCTGACATTTTACAACTTATTTCGAATGTGTAAATCGGTACAAAAATCTCATAAAATTTAGATACCAAAATATAATTATACAATGATTTTACATTAAAATTAAATGGGGTATCATAATGTAAAATGTACTAATTTGTGATTTAATTAATTTTTGGATTAGAAAAAATGTAAAATATACATTATAGTGACTAAATTTTGATTTAATTAAATTTGGAGTATCAAAATATAATATGTACATTATAGTAACTATATTATGAATTAATTAAATTTGGAGTAACAAAATGTAAATTGTTATGCAACCGAACAATAATATAAAGAAGAATTAAAATACTCGTACATATTTTATACGTAACTTACATACCGTATTTTACTAACTTATGAATTATGACTCACCATCTTGCCTAATTAATTCCTCTTACCGTGGCAACAAACAAGCCACCCACCTATAACATCAGTATGGTCCGAAAATGCGGGCCGTAAAGCTAGGTTTAGCTGAAAATGTTGGCCAGATTTGTTGCTCGTAGGCCCAAGATGTTCATTTCATCGGACACCTATGACATAATAATTAAAAGCCCAACAAAATTTTAGATCTAACACTTTCAGCCCAGTAACTAATTATTCGGAAAGAAAGAAAGAAAAAACCAATTATTCAGAATGAGATTAGCTGCTCTCTTAGGCAACAGTAACCCTCGTCCACGTTTATATATAATAATATTTGGTGTTTTTTTAATGAAATTTAAAATATTTTGTATTGTAAGTCCGTCCGAATAAGGTACAGATGAGAAGGCCGACCATGATACAAGAATCTAATGTGATTCCGATAACTTGGAGTCATCAACATGAGAGATAATGTTCCGTGGACTACTATTTCGAATTCTAAGCTTGGAAGAAGTCAAATGGCTCCCTTGTCAAGAGTAGTGATCATGAAGAAGGCGATATGATTGCATGAGCTAGCAACACGATAAGGAATTTGGTAGGAGAGGGGCCCCAAAAAAAACAATGATATTCAGTGTTTTGCAAAGTACACATATAGATAGGAGATTCATAATCACGAAGAAGATAGAAATGAGTAAACATAAGGGAACGGGACGAATTGGTGCCGGGATTTTCTTTTTACCCCTAGATAGACTCTAGGTGAGTCAAAGGATATGATTACTTGTATGCCCCATGATCATGATTATAGTTCATCAATGATTTGATGCATGGCGATTTGCAACTATATATATGCTTTTGTCATTGAAAGGGATGTTTAATTAATTTCTAATTAGCGCAAGAGATTAAAGGCTCTTTTTATACCAACACGTACAAGTCTAGAGGGTGTATTATAGAGACTTAACTACAAGACTGACTGCAATCAAATGCGGTAGTACGTATGCAACGAACAACCAATGAAAGAGCATGTGTTTGTCATTGAATGGACAGCTTTGTCGAACCTCAAAGAAGCACACAAACATGTCATTGACTCGAATAATTTGGGGGGTGGCAGATTGAAAGATAGCCACAATCAACAAGTGTGTAGTTTTGTTCGATGGAACATGTGGGGTGACCAGTTATGGGTCACCACCAATTGTTACAACCAAAAAACTAATGTACTAGGAAACATCTCATAGCATCTCGATGAGAATGTAATTTATCAATAAAAGTATTCAGACTGCCATCATAAAAGTTTCATTATAAGTAAATAAGATTGAATCATGATAGACCTACGAGATCGGTTGTACTAGAAATTTCTCAAGATATTAAAGGTTGCCACGAGGCTTAGTAAAAAATTCCTAATAAATTGAACAACAAGTGTGCTTCAACTCATGTTCAACTCATGTAAGTAATTAATTCTAAACAATAAAGAAAATATTATGTAAATATTTATATTTGGATGACCAATGGCCTACCACATTAGATGCTCACTTGGGAGTTACATGTAACTCCCACTCCTATATTATTATCTCTAATTCATATGCATTGATGTAATGGTTACCAAAGGGTGCCTATAAATAGAGCACACTATTGTATCACAAATGAGTATGAATAAGAAGAACTATTCCCCTCACTTCTCTTGTGTCTTTCCTCCTCCAATCTTCTCTTATAGTTGCTTACATTTCCATTAGTTTCATAACACGTTATCAGCACCAGACTCTTCCTTTTGAAAAGGTTAAATCCATAATTGTTCTGCTCAAGGTATGTCGATTCTCCCAAATTGTTTCTTTTATTGTCCTATTTCAATTTATTAATCAACACATGAAATCTTTGTTTGAGAATGCAAAGGTATAATTTCCTTCTTAATATATTTTTTTGTGAAATTCGAATTTATTTATATATTTGTAAAAATATCAAATTGATATATCATGGGTCACATAAGTCGTTTGTCTTGATAGTAATCTATATTTATTTATTGAATTTTAACTTCAATTTGTGTATATTTTTATGATAGTATGTCAAATCTTTCAAAGCTTGAGTTTGTGGCTCTTGATGTCACTAGAAAGAATTACCTATCATGGGTGCTAGATGCTGAAATTCATTTAGCTTCCAACGGTCTTGGAGACACAATTAAAGAGGGCAATGAAGCATCAGATCAAGACAAAGCTAAAGCAATGATCTTTCTTCGACATCACCTCCACGAGGGATTGAAGAATGAGTATCTTACTGTCAAAGATCCACTTATTTTGTGGACTAATTTGAAGGAGCGGTATGACCACCAAAAAACTGTGATTCTTCCTAAAGCTCGTTATGATTGGATGCATTTGAGGTTACAAGATTTTAAATCTGTGAGTGATTATAATTCGGAACTATTCAAAATAACCTCACAACTACTGTTATGTGGAGAAAATATTACTGATGAAGATATGTTGGAAAAAACATTCTCCACTTTTCATGCATCCAATGTGCTCCTGCAGCAGCAATACCGTGAGAAAGGTTTCAAGAAATATTCTGAGCTGATTTCTTGTCTCCTTGTTGCTGAACAAAATGATGAGCTCCTAATGAAAAATCACCAATCTCGTCCTACTGGTGCCGCCCCATTCCCAGAAGCGAATGCGGCGACGTTCACCCAATATCCTTATGGGCAAATACATGGACGTGGACATGGACGAGGACGTGGGCGTGGTCATGCTCGAGGCCGTGGCCGTGGCTGAGATCTTGGTCGTGGTAATGGTCGTGGTGAAAGTTCCAAAGGCTCATTTTTCCCCAGAAGTGGAAAAAATGATGGTAGAAGAAGCAAGGAACAAAGTGTTCATGGTAACAAACACGTCGAAAATGTGTGTTACCGTTGTGGTGGAAAAGGTCATTGGTCTCGTACCTGTCGTACGCCAAAACACTTGGTTAACCTCTACCAAGAATCATTGAAAGGGAAGAAGATAGAAACCAATTGTATTTTTGAGGAAGATGATTCAGGAAAAGACTATAATGATGCTACTCATCTAGATGTGTCTGACTTCTTTGCCCACCCTGAAGGAAAAATAGATCACCTTATTGGTGATGGGAATGTTCACAAGTGAAAAGTTTAGGTTTCCCATTTGAAATTTCACTTTCTTTGTCGTTTTCCTTGAGTGTGTTTTTCCTATTAATGTGTCAGTTTAATATAATTTCTTTTTATAATCCTTATGTGGTTTAATTTCATCTAATATTATCATGTCATTATTTTTATATTTATTTGGAGATATTTTCTTATATTGATTTACTTTCTATCTTTGTGAAGAATGAATATTCCCATGCTTGGCACCAAGATCAAAAACCATGATGTGTGTCTTATTGATAGTGCATCGACACATACAATCTTGAAGGATAAGAAATATTTTTCTCATCTTGAAATGCGAGAAGCAAATGTTAGTACTATATCTGGAAGTACAAATCTAATTGAAGGCTCCGGAAGAGCTAGTGTATTGTTACCAGAAGGAACCAAGTTGTATATCAATGAAGCCTTATACTCTTCAAAGTCTCAAAGAAATTTATTGAGTTACAAAGATATT